CTATGATGATGATAAAAAATATGTTATTATGAAGATTATGATAATGATTAAAATTCTATCCTAAGAGAGATGAAAAATCAATGGTATCAAAGCAATTGATGTGATATTACCAGATGCATTAGTCTCTTGTGATTTTACCTTGAAATCAATTATTTAAGTATAAAGGTTTCATAAAATCAGTGTTTCGTGATTGTTTACGTGTTTTTAGTTCAGGGCAGGTATCTTTTCTCCTACGAGTATTTTCCCTTCAATAATAACTTACAATACAGATTTTTCATATATCCGTACTTAAAGGTAAAGCAAAAACATTTGACCTAGCGATATCTGCCTACATCTGCCTGCCGAGGTTAAAGTGGGGTAATTCAAATACTTTTAGAAATACACTATCTATGACCACGTCGTACTCTCCCTGGTGTATTTGAAGGTTAAGACTAAACTCCGTACTATTTTCATGCTCAGCTTTGACGCATTATATAAACGAGACTCCAGGCGACGTTGGATTACCTTGCACTCTGGAAATCCCCACATTTTTTTCAGGAAATGTGTATCTTGGGTTTTGTGTATCCCTATCGTGTCCGCAGCTATACGTTTCAGTTACATTAGATAGGCATGATTTATTATAGTTAGAGAATATGTCTTTTTACGATATTAGTATGCATATTCTATCATCCAAATAGTCGATAAAATATACATAAAATGGATGTTACAGTGTTTCCTAGTCGTCCCTCTATGTTGTAGAAACACCTGAAAGAATAAATGGGTATTTTATTATAACTAAATCTACTTTAGCTCTCGATTATATTATAGGATATAACTGTCGATGCTAAAAACAGTAACTCATGAAGCCTGGCAGCTATCACCTTCCCTGATGTACTTGAAGAACATGTTTAAACCAAGGGTAATATTTTAAACTTAATAAACCAGTTAACTGAAGGCTGATAGTTGAACTAAATGGCATAATTACTGTTGCCAAGGGACGTAGCTGCTGTAGTCTGACAGTGACAGCCATCTCGTATAGAAATCCCAGGCTACCTTGAAGGACATCCGGAGCAGGACCTGGTTTCGCTGACTCATGCTCGACCAGAGTCACAGGGCGCGTTCGACGTCGATCGCCAGTGAGCGCCGCCGTCTTGCTGCCTCACTTTTGCACGGGGTTGTTGATAGGAGGCTTCATGAGAATAAAGTCCAGGGATCTGAGACAACGTGGACGAAGTGAAACCTTTGCGTGGACCGAATTCTCATGACCTGTCTTCCCTGACCCCGATGCACAGGAAGGTAGGCGTAAAATGAGAGATAAAAGCACGGGCGTCGAAGAGAGTTTGAAGCTGCCGGCCTTGGGGGATGAACGGGAGTCGAGAATGCGTCGGGCGTAGCGCAGAGGGCGGCGAGAAGGGGAAAGGAGCGAGGTCGTGTAGGGGCGGAGGCCGGGAAAGCGAGGCTGGATCCTCGGTCACGGACCTTTTATGCGGAAGCTCGCGGTCTATGTTGGTGCCTGTCTTCCTCTCACTTTCTGACTTTCTGTCTCTCTGTGTCTGCCCTCTCTCTCCCTCCCTCCCCCCCCCTCTCTCTCTCTGTCACTCTCTCTCTCTCTCTCTCTCTCTCTCTCTCTCTCTCTCTCTCCCTCTCCTCCTCCCTCTCTCTCTCTCTCAGGTAACTAATTTGCATGAGCCATTAACACCACTAGTTATAATTTGCGCTCCAGAGACTATTGCAACACACTTTACACCACCAAGATTCCCCACAACTTAGAGTAAATTATGCTTGTTGTTTATTTCATGGAGTCTCGATTAGCTGATGATGAGGATGATAATGATAGTAATGATGATAGCAGCAGCATTGGTTATAATGATGATAATATTGATAGTAATAATGTCAATAAAGATTATGATAAATGGTAATGGTAGTGATGATAGTAATAAAAAGGATAACAATAAAGATGCTAACAATAGAAATGATGACAATCATGAAAATGATAATGATAATAATAGTAACAATAATGATGATACTGAAAATAATGTTGATGATGATAATAATAATAATACCAACAACAATAAAGATGAGTATAATAATGATGATATTAACTGAAATGCAAGAAACAATAATAAGGATGACAACAATTATGATAGCAATGACGATAATAATGATAATAACAACAACAGCCACCATTAATAATAATGATAATAATAATAAAACATGATGATAATTACGATAGTAATTACAATAATCATAATGACAATATGATAACGATGATAATGATACTGAAAGCAATAATAATAACAGTGAGGAAGATTTATAGAAATGATGATGATAATGATAATGACAATAGTAATAAAGATAATGATAATGATGATAATAAAACAATAGTTATTATCATCATTATTATTACTATTACTATTATTATTATTTGTTATTATTATCATCATTATTATCATCATTATCATTATTATTATATATTATTATTTTATCATTATTATTATTACTACTATTCTTCTTATCATTA